CTGGCATCCAACATCTTCATATCCTCACCTTGGTAATTGAAATATGGCATCAAGCAAGACAGTCACAAACTGAAACAAACAGACAATGACAATGAGTACCCATCAATGACAATGACAAAGGCAATTGAACTTCATCAAGGCAAGCGACTAATGGCGGTGAGCATCCAGCCATTTTTTGATACCATAGTCTTGACAACGTCGGCCGACACAAGCTTGTTCCTGAGGTTTGAAGCAACCAGACTTGCAAATTCATGAAATATTCAATTCAAATTAGCGATCCTGTGGGCAAATTGGAAACAATACAAGCCAAGTATCAAAATTCGAACAGCTCTCAGTGGGCACCTGCCATACAGCTGGAAGAAGCGGTGCTGGATGGTGTCCTCGATGTTGTGATCCTTGAGGATCTCCAGCCTTGGGGAATCAAATGAGCAGCAACTGTAAAGTTGAATCATGACTTTGACTTGTGCTGGATGACTTTGTCACAACACAGCTTGTCATTGAAACCAAGAGGCAAAACAGGATCACGCTCCTCATCCCCCTCAGATGCCGCCGCATGTGCCTGACAATGATCCTCCTCCCGATCCTCCTCCTCCTCCCGATCCTCCTCCTCCTCCTGATCCTCCTCCTCCTCCTCCACATCCTCCATGACCTCTTGCGGCTCTGCGGGGGGGGAGCGGCCACATCACCAGTTGGATCCTTGTCGCAACAAACACGCAATCATCAAAACCACCCAGCCATTATTCCAGTGAACAGTGTTAGCAATCAACTTGTGATGGTTTGAAATCAGCATAGCCATGGTTCAAAGAAAGCACCTCTGATTTACCACAGATCTCGAAGAGCTTGTCCAAGGTATTTTGACCCAGGTCCAACATGGAGCCAGCAGGCTTCTTAGTCCACCATTGATGAATGGTATTCTGCACTTCATGCCTTAGTTGAAAGGAATTGCTAGGTAGCATTTGACAACAATTGAAAGACACCATATACTGTTCACAAAGTAACAACTTAACTGTTGACAAATCACATGTCCAACTTTGAATCACATGCTGCTTCATATGCCCATTGAGCATCACGAATCCACTTCCATTTTTTGGTCTTGGACAAGCTGGGCAGGAAGAGTAGCACATCCACACCACAAGCCTCCGTTATGGCCAGGTTGCTTGCTGGCCAATGACCATGACTCATGACAATGACAAAGTTAGTGTCCATAGTATTATTAGTGACATCATTCAAAATTCATTCACCCCTTCATGCAACCTGGCCACGTACAAGAGACACCACAGGGCTATGCCTGCAGCACTTGTGCGGTGGAAACCTGCGGCGCAATTGAGGAGGACCAGGTGGGCAGGCGATCGAACCAGGTGGCGCAAGGTTCTCCAGAATCGTTGGTGCTGAAATACCTCAGCGCCAAATCAACTGGATATAGGGTGATGAACTTTCTTCACATCATTGTCATTGGTTGTTGCCATGGCACATTTGTCATGACATCGGGAAAAATCCCCGGCTCAGGGCCGCCTTTGATCAGAAACTTGCCATTCTCCGTCTCCGGGAGCATGCGGCACAGGTCATGGATCGTGGTGCTAGCAAATCCACCGCCACAGAAGATCAAATCTCTTGGCCTTGTCACCTTCCAATTTCCAATGAGACCACGTTCCTGAGCTGAAATGACAATGACGACCAAGTGCAACTTCCAATATGCAAAATGACAATGACAATGACAAAATGCAAAATGACATAATTGCAAACAAAGCCACCTCATCAGCATTATCCTCGAACTTTGTACCCCAACCATAGAGCACAACCTTGTCAGGCCATCTGCTGCTACACCCGGCTTCGCGAAGTTGTCTCGCCCTGGACCGGAAATCCTGCAGCGCTGTTAAGCCTCAGTTGTCAGTTGTCAGTCAAACATTTGTCAAACCACTCATGGACCATGACAATGACCAATGACAATGATTATGACTAAACAGATACCAAGTGACTGTCCAATGTGGTTTCGGACAGCATTGTAGATCCAGCCATCTGGCCGTTGGATCAAGTGCTGCTGATTGCTGAACCGCTCCCTCAGTGAGGCAACAAGGCATGAGTGCAAATATGACTGCAAGTAAAATAAAGCAACAAAACACAGCAAAACACAGTAAAATAAACTTCTGACAATGACGACTCTGACAAGTTACACCAAATCCAAAGTCCCCTTGCGATCCAGTAGCCAGCACAGGTACAGGCTCTGCTGCGCACTCCGACTGAAGACTGCCGCAGTGGACACAATCGCGTGAGGCAACTTCGCCAAAGCAATGGAATCGTCGCGCATTAAAAAAAACACTGCCTGTCAATGTCTAGCAGTGATATGTCAGTGTCATGGTGTCATGACAATGACAATGATTTGACAATGTGTTTTTTCAATGATGATGTTGCATCTGCTTGGATGTCAGGCGTGTCTTGAGCCCGACTGCCAAACAATACCCGGGCTGAAGTCACGAGAACAATGACCAACTAAAGGGCTGGCGTGCTGAGCAACAAACCATCAGATCAGCAGGTTGCGGGACACGGCACCAAACACCTGAGAGCAGGCGCAAGAGTGACAGAATTCAACATAAGAAGAACTTAGTTAGTAGACAGTGAATAATAAAAGAACATTTTGTGAAAGACAAACTCATCTAACATCAAGTGAAATTCCAGCCTTGGTGTGAAATCACAGGTCTAAAGTTTAAGTACAATTTGAGTGACTGTGCCCAATGTTCAATCAGGCCAGGCCTGAGTCGTCGTCGATGGCAAAAATGACAAGGACAAAAATGCCAAGGACAATGATGCAACCTGGCAACACCCATGTATTTCACATGATCATGCTGTCTTTCACTTGGCCCGTCCTCTTTGGCGAATCCTCCTTGGCCCTGGCATCCAACATCTGCACATCCTCACCTTGGTAATTGAACTATGGCATCAAGCAAGACAGTCACAAACTGAAACAAACAGACAATGCCAATGAGTACTCATCAATGACAATGACAAAGGCAATTGAACTTCATCAAGGCAATCCACTAATGGCGGTGAGCATCCAGCCATTTTTTGATTTCATAGTCTTGATAACCTCGGCCGACACAAGCTTGTTCCTGAGGTTTGAAGCAACCAGACTTGCAAATTCATGAAATATTCAATTCACATTAGCGATCCTGTGAGCAAATTGGAAAGTATCAAGATTCGAACAGCTCTCAGTGGGCACCTGCCATACAGCTGGAAGAAGAGGTGCTGGATGTTGTCCGCAATGTTGTGATCCTTGAGGATTTCCAGCCTTGGGGAATCAAATGAGCTGCAACTGTAAAGTTGAATCATGACTGTGACTGCTGGATGACTTTGTCACAACACAGCTTGTCATTGAAACCCAGAGGCAAAACAGGATCACGCTCCTCTGCCTGACAATGATCCTCCTCCCGATCCTCCTCCTCCACATCCTCCATGACCTCTTGCGGCTTTGCGGGGGGGAGCGGCCACATCACCAGTTGGATCCTTGTCGCAACATAAACACGCAATCATCAAAACCACCCCGCCATTATTCCAGTGAACGGTGTTAGCAATCAATTTGTGATGGTTTGAAACCAGCATAGCCATGGTTCAAAGAAAGCATCTCTGATTTACCACAGACCTCCAAGAGCCTGTCCAAGGTATTTTGAGCCAGGTCCAACATGGAGCCAGCAGGCTTCTTAGTCCACCATTGATGAATGGTATTATGCACTTCATGCAATTGAAAGACACCATATACGGTTCACAAAGGTACCCATTGTTTGTTCCATTGATGATGAAGAACAAACACAAACAGGCCTGCTGGACACTGAGAAGGCAGCTGATGCACTGTAGCTCTGCACCTGGCGCACACGAGCTTCATGGGTAAACATGACACCTTGGTAAACATGACACCTTAAACAGCACGAATAGTTATTATTCATAAGTGATTTGAAAAATGCAATCCTCACCTGATCCTGCCTGGATGCTGATGGGTGTCCTGCAGCAAATAATAAATCAGTGACAATGATTTGGTGTTGATTTGAGACGGATCAGTGTCACATTGATCAAGCCACACTAAACTTGCACATCATCACGACTAAACTAATTGGCATGACAATGATGAACATACTTGTTTTTCACCAAGAGGAGCACGAGCTTCACTTGTTTGGTGCCCGCCTTTTTGGGTACCTAACATCTACATTGCCCGCTGGCCTCTTCTTCACTTTAGGCTCATCTTCACTCCGCAACTCGCCCATGTCATATGTTGAGAATTGGGAAGTCTGTGATGCTGCCTGATGATCACCCACACCATCATCTCCCTGCTTGATCACCTGGATGCGCATCTTGTGGGTCAAGGCAACATAGGTCACCTGATGAGTCAGGACTTCAGTGGGTGACACTGAAGTGTGAATTGTCCTGAAATGACAATGACACCTGAAATGCTAACAAGGCCACAGTCAAATCTGCCACAGTCCCCGCCAAATTCTGAGACTTATCCATGATAGTGACAGTGAGTTACAATGGTTTGAGCTGACTGTGGCTGCAGAGTGACAAGTGACAATGAAGCTCAATCCCTGCCCAGTGCCAATCAGTCAGTCCTCCAGCCATCAAATCATCCTGGGCAGGCAGTGTGAATCATCAATTATGGGACTCCTACCACTCCGAAGTTCTAAGTTTCCAGCAGCCGGAAACAATGGAAGAACAGTTTTGAACCCAAAGGTGGCAACGATTGTGAAACTGACAGCTGACAATGATGTGAGTCGAAGACAATGATGTAATTAAACCACTGGAGCTCCCAAACTTTTCACTTTAAGTTGTAAACAATTTTAAACTCACCAGTTTCAAATTTCACAAAAAACATATACACAAAAGCAACTTTTGCAACTTGCAAACAGCCACCCAGATTACATTCTGTGCCACTAGCTGCACTTTCAGTTAAGAACTCACCTTCAACACGCTGGCCAGTGATGTGACCACCTCCGGGGGCTTCGCTTCCACTGGGCGGCCTTGGTGAAGTCCAACTTGAAGTCCCTGTTCAAGGCCTTCAAATGCATCACTTGGCCTGGCGCATCGGTTTCATCATCCACCTCCCATCCTCCCATCTTACACATCTGGTTGGTGGCCTTGAGTCGACCAGGGGTTGACCAGTGAGAAGCCAAGTCAAATAGAGCTGTTGCTCTGCTCTTCACTGTTGCTAAAGTTATGGTGGAGATTCGATGTGCTGTAGTTGCACCAGAGTCTCAACAAACTAGGTGAATAGCTCACGAGGTTGATGGGTTGACTTCTGATGGCTTGTCTATTCTTCAATAGTACATTGACCATCTAAAAGGCGTCACCTGACCCGAGGGACATGTTGCTAAACCAACGTGGCCAAGTTCTGCACGGTTTGATTGATGACAAGTCTTTATGACTCAGCAACACCTCTTCCTCTTTGAATACTTTACAGGGCGGCAAGACCTTTGGATAAGTCGTAAATCAAAGGCAGGAACTCACGGGAACGATTCCCATGGGCTCACCGTAAAGTGGGTAGGATGCTGTTGCCCAAACACCGAACCAATCTGAGCACGCTCTGTACACCAAAGTTGGTCAAACGGAAACGATCTCCCCAAATGCTCGGTGAGCGAGTCACGTGGTCATGACGGTCTTCTTGGGTCGCCAACATGAAGAAAATGCACTACCACCATGGTTTGGGGTTCATGTTGGGGTGTTTGGTTTTGGCATTCATCGCATTCATGGCAGCTCTATACTGAACCGGACATACCCGGACTATGCGGGTGCCTTCAATCCAAAAGACCTGAAGATCTGCATAGGAAAGGCCCCGAAGGCCGCCGCCGACCTGCAGAGGGCACAGCCCCAAGTTGTTCTTCACAAAGGAGTGAAACACACTATGTTTTTGGAGAAAGTGGCACCGGTTGCAGTTCAGCCAACCACATTGAGTTGCCCCCGTTTTGTTCTCGTTCTGCAACCGTTTAGAGCTGCCCATTTGCCTTTGAGGCCCTCGTCTTGGACCAGCCTCTCTAATCAAAACAACACGCAATCGTTAAAGGACCTAGCCGAGTTTACATCCCATCACGGACACCCAACGAAGGACTCCGTGGCCAAGACTTCCGGGATGGTATATGTTTCACACTTTAGTACAATATATTGTATTATTGATATAGTATTCAAACACAATACGGCTCATGGTGTCCATTGCTTTTCGTCAGTTTTCCTTCACCATTGGGATCGAAAAAAAACAAAGACAATTTGCAAAAACCCTGAGGAGTCTATGTTGAGGTCCCAAATATCTACAGTAATCTTTACGAAACAAGTGGCACTCTGGGAAACGTCCAACAAGTGCATCGGGACACATACATGAACAAGCAGACGCACACACAAACACACACAGACGCAAACACACACGCCTTACTCATTGTAAATTCTTTCAAAAGCGATTCCTGCGAGCGGGCCAAGCAACAAATTGAAGTGCATGGACCATTCCGCAAATCGGGTGAGTCTGGAGACTGTTGTCTGTACATCTGCAGTCCCAAAAGTGTCCGGTTTCAACAAAAATGGAGGCTCAAGAAGTAAAAACACCCCTAACACCCCCATCGCAATGTATATATCGGAATATGTCAGAAGGTGTCAGGACTGTGTTCTTTTTTCCAGTCTATTTTTGCACAGCAAATCACACGGCCGCCATCCAAGATCAGTGAGAAGTGTTCATGATCGTATCATGACCCAACCTGCTCAACCTGTCCTCCCTTGGATTCTATTGCACTCAACCTGCTCATCTCGTCTAGGGACAAAATGCGGCGTGTTGAGTTTGGGACCAAAACGACCCCGGTGTCTCCTGCGGTGTGGCCGCCAGTGCTGGGAAGCTCCTCTCCAAGGTGGTGAGCTCATTGCGTGGGGCCTCGGAATGGATCGATGGACGGAACCAGGACCCACATCTATGACAGGATATGACAGGATTATGTTTCTTTTTTTTGCCATGTCTGTCGATTACAAGACAATCCATAGAAGTTGAAGACATTTGAACAACCGCATGCGGCGTGCGTCTATATATGGGTCGGGGTGAACGGACACATGAATCACCCGTCTGTTTGGTGCTCAGTCCAAACAATCAGAGTCTTGGGATGTTGGGAATCTTATGATGCCGTACACATTTAAACAGTTAGTTAGTTAGTTAGTTAAAGGTAAAGGATGTTAAAGGTATCAAATAGACCGATTTACAATGCAAAAGCATCCGTACCCGCCTCTCGTGCAGCAGCCACTGCCAAGTTCTGGGAGAAGAGTAGCAGCACTGTGGTCACGCGTGAAGCATCTGGGTGGCGACATCAATTTCGCGGCGAAAGCAAACAAGCAGCGAAGGCCTTCAGTCAGTCAATAGAAAGTCTTCAGCAATGAGAACTCTCCTACATTACAAATTGGAAACCAATGTGTTTGTTTGTGGACCTCATGAAACTTTACGATTACGCTTTGGTCATTATTTCATGTAATTTCAGATGAGTGGGTGAAGTTCATAACTCAACGCCCTGCACACAATACACAAACGGAGAACCACGGAGAACGGTTTGCCACCAAGTTGAGCACCCAAGACTACACCCTATGGCCTAATTGCCTGTGACACTTTTTGATCCGCAAAGAAACTACATGAAACAACGTAATTAGACAAACGGACCGTCTTCAATCGTCCGAAAAGGTCAGGGATTCGGATGACTTTGGAGCTTCATGTGTTCGCGGTGCACAAGCTCGGCACATCCAAACGGTTGGAGCGACCCAGCGACCCTCCATGTGCTCTTTAAGACTTGATGTTTCCAAGGCATGCGTGGGTCACCAGTCGGACATTATTTACCTCCTTTAGTGGATCTGGGAGATCTGAAACACCCTTTGGATTGTCTATAGATACCGATATCTAGGTATGAACTCCAAACAGAAACCCCAAAACTTACACGTTGTCCATGTCAATGTCCACTGTCATCCTGACGTCGTGATGACCAACTGGGGTGCAAAGGGCTGAGATAGTCAGTCCAAACATCCCCAACTATTTTTCAGTGGCCTTGGGCATATGCCAAACAATCCTCGCGTGCAAGATTTGGTTAGAGTGACCCCTAAGACCCACCCACCCACCCGGTCCCACCTGAGCCTTGCCTCTCCAGTGGGATGACCTCGCAAACCCCCTGGAGGAACTGGCCGTACCTGCTATGAACAGTGAGGATTCTATCGTTTTTTCTTTGCATCCGGGGTTCCAAAAGCAATGGGTGTTCTTACATCTCTTGCATTTGGCAACTGGGTTGTTCTCAGATCTCTAATCACTCAGCACCCTCCTATGCATTTTTCGGCAGGGAGTTCCGCCTCCCAGAGCCAAAACATTCGATCATCCATAAAAACAATCAGGATTCTGAAGCACGATAATGTTTCAAATCCTCTTCATTCCATTTTGGTATCTTATTCAATAACATATCATATATATCATATTATGATAAGATTATCATATTATACCGGTTGGCCCGCTTGAAATCTAACCCCCCCTTCCTGCCCAAAAGAAACTCAAACTCATATGATTCCCGCCCCCTCTGAAGCTGCACAATGGAGAAGGCATTTTCACGCCAAGCCATTGTCTATCAAGTAGAGCATATGGGATCCAGCTTTGCTGGACTGGGCTGGACTTCAAGTCTGGCGCCTACCTCAGGCAAACAAGCTTTCATTTACACTAGTCTACTTCTGCTGCAGCCTTTGTATCCGGATGCTCCTTTTGAGCGGGAACCTCATCAACTTCTACGCACTCGTCTCCATCAAGTTCCTCTTCTTCCGGGTCTTCACAATCATCGGCCGCCGGCCCCACCAATTTCAAGTTGGCGGCAGGTTTCTTCTGTGCTGCTTTCGAAGCAGGTGCACCTTCCAAAGGGTTCAATATTTATTATCCTAAGGATGTTGGACATGTGAGTGATTTCAAGCTTCACTCAAAAGGGTAGTTGAAAATCAAGCCTGGTATGTACTCCAGCTGTCGCTTCAAGGCGGCCTGAGAAAAAGGATCATCTTGGAAACAAAGATGATGACCAATCACAGCCAGGCTCAGACTTGAGACCTATAATAACTGTTACTGGTTATATGTTCGGGCTAGGGTAGCGACTACCTCATCTCGAACTTCTTGCACAGCGACTCCAGCCAAAAGGCGCTCACGACCCAGTTCCTTGAAACAGGAAACAACAACAAAAACACAATAAACTACTAACCAATCAAACAATACCAACCAACCAAACAAACACAGAAACAACAGCAACGAGAAGAAGAACAAGGACAAACCACTAGAACAAGGACACCACTAAATGCAAAAACAATGAGAAGAATGGCGCCAACCATGACAATAGATAGGACTTACACTACGGTTACAGCTCAGTCTGAGCCAGCAACGATGATTTCCTTTGCTTTGTCAGGATCATAGTATTTTCCTCCTGCCTCCCAGCAACCATTGATGTTTTAGGTTTTGAAGCTGAAATTGGCCGATCCATGGACAGAAAAAACATAAGTAGGTAGTAGGAACCAGGCCTGCAGAATCTCCTTCCCATCCAGCTTCAGCCCCCAAACGTTCGTGGCTTTGTAGAAATAGGGCGTGCTGAGTTTCCCAACAGCAGGTGTTGGCTCCTCATCCCCATCTGCTTTACAACTTGCTCCTTCGCGAAGCAAGCCAACTAAACCTTGCATGAAAGTTTGTCACCTCATCAAACAAACCATGAAAATAAACATGTATGTTTCATTTGGTATCCTGCGGCTGGTTTCTTTTGGATCGCTTTCGACTTAGCTTTGCTCTTGGCTGCTTTGCTTTTGGCTCTTTCTTTCACTTGTTCACTCTGAGCCTTGGCCTTTGGTTTCAACTTTGGAAGAGTCTTGACCTTTGGGGTAGGTGTGACAGACTCAGTGTGTGCGTGTTCCTCCTCAGTCGGTGACGGCTGCGGTGCTACCTTAGCCTTAGCCTTGGGCTGCAACGGGAGTCGAAGAGCACTGGGCCGCTTGCGTACTGTAGCCTGTCGTCGGATTGACCCAACATAAAATTGAAACTTGTTCTGCTAAAAACCTGGCCTCTTGTTCCTCTTGTTCGTCTTCAGACGCGGACAGCTGATCCACGGGTGGCAATATGAAGGACATGGGGCGCAAACACAGAAAAGGAACTTCTACTTGGGCTTGGCCTTTGACCTCAAACAGAAACAGTAACATTGAGATACTTTCCACCACCTGGTGGGTGTCTTCAAAACTCTCAAGAACCCAAGGAAGTGGTGCGCTGGCACATTCAGCTGGTTACAAACTTGGAGTCTGCTGTGAATGTGAAGAACACCAGTCAGTCTACAATGTTTTTGTCAGTGGTCGCACTGTCGGAGTCCCCGCAACGAACTGCCAGCTAGGAAGCGCATGAACTCAAAATCCCTGGCTAGTTCGATGCTACGGCTTCAGAATCCATCGTTCTGGCTCTAGACTTGCAAGGCCAAACAAACAAGACAACAATTTTACAGTAACCAATTAAATTACTGAATGTAGTATCCATCACAAACCAGTGTGAATGAGCATAGTTCTAGTCTAATCCTGTCTCTTCGCTGCCTTGCAAAATGCTCTTTGCCAATTATTCCAGGTCACAATTGGCATCGTACGCTCTGGCCCGATGTGCTCACACACAAACAACAAATTCAACATGATATAAAATCACTAACACCCATAACACGGTACAAGCTCTTGGGGCAAACAACATTAGTCGCTAAGGAACTTCAGGGCCACTAGGACGACACCTTGACCCAGGTCTCTGGCTTCAAGCTCAAAGTGCAAGTCAAAAACACTTTGCACTTGGTCGCAATGATTCGGGGCTGTCCTGACCCCGTCTGCAAGGTCACCTGGCAAACATATTTAGACTTTCAATGTCTGGAAATAAGTTCCAATCAAGTTTCATGCCTCCCACACTAAGTTTGCGATCTTGTTCCTCGGAAGTTTATGGAAGTTGCCAGAGTAGCAGGCCCCAAAGTTTGCGTGCCTGATCGGCATCAACAGCGAGCACGTTTAATAGCCCTCGTTTTTAGTAGCATCCCTGTTTGAGAAAGAAACTTCGGTTTTAAAACATTGCCTCAAGTTTTGACTGTCAGCAACGGCAGAAGGCTTGAAGCAGTTGCACTTGCCACTTCCACTTGGAGACAAGGAATAGCGA